CCAAAATTTTATTACTTAATTTTTGAATATTTTAAACCATACCCCAAAATTCCACCTTTTAACTTTAAACAAAAAAAAACTCTAGCATATAAAAGATACTTTCTCTTCAATGAAATTTCTTTTGGTCATTTTCTAGTTTGAATGTTATTTCTGTGGAAATAAATCTAAAGAAACTATCCTAAGAAATTTCTCTATCTGATCATTTATTTATATTATATGAACCTAAAAATAACTTTACATATGATACATTATATGTTTTCTTTTTATTAATTTAAAGTTAAGCAGTAAACATAAATCTAGATGTGTAAATTGAAACTGATAATAATCAAATGATTGACCGTTCAACTAAAATCCTAAATTTCATGAATATAAAAAATAAAAGTAAGATATAAAAGCATAAAAAAAATATTTTTTACATTTTTCTGAAGAAAATAAAAGTAAATAGAAAATCAATTAAATAGTGATACTAAAACATTAATTATGGAATATTAAATTTTAATGACAATTGAAAACATATTATCTTTTGATTTTTTAGAATTGGGTTTTGAAATTGATATGGATTACCGATTTTAGCTAATTTTATAATTTTTCTCAAATCTAGATTTTAAACCGAACTGAATTTGATCTTTCTAATGAATCACGGTTGATTCAACCAACGTGTCCAGTCTGGTTTTCTAAACACTAGTTTTCACCTTCATCTCTAGCCACTGATGATATGAATTAATGTTTGGTAGTACACCATAACTTATTAGTCAAATAGAGAATTAAATTAGAGATTATCTGCTGTTATATCCAAAATCGGTAACTTAATTAGCTAATTACTCATGATTTGACTGATTAATTTCTAAGAAGATTTTAACCTTACTGTTTCTCTGTGTAGCTATGCCAGCTACTCTAGTTATTCATAGCTGGGTCAGCCACTTTACAGCTATTTGTATCAACTGATACATTCTCTTCTCCTTTATTATATTTTTGTTTTTAATTTTTAGTATGAAGATATCATGTTAATGCATTCTATTTTCTGTGTATAAATTTATTATTGCGAAAAAACTTATTACTATTTTACTACTATTCGTATGAATCTAAATTATTTTAATTACAGCACATTCTGAGAGAATTAGCATTGAGGCTTTTTTAAAATCGCCAAAGATGTTAACACTGGTGTTAGCTGTTAACAAGTAATGTAGATGTCAACAAATGTGTTAACTGTTAACAAATACATCATTAACAGAGGCATTAACTATTAACAAATTTTGTAAATGTTAACCGATGTTTTAGCTGTTAACAAAGACATATATTATCAATGTTAACAAAGATGTTAGTTGTTAATAAATTTTGTAGATATCAATACTTGCGTTAGATATTATATGTTAACAAATAAATATTGTTGAAGTTTTATTTCTCTATCAAAATGAGTAAATTTTAATTCATTTACACAAAATTGTAGATGAAAAACAAAATCAAGAAAAAATAGTGTAAAAAAAAAAAGAAATGAATGTAAAAAAGAGATATGTGAAAAACATGTGTGGTTTAAAGAAAATGAATGTAGGAAAGAGAGGAAAATCGTTGGAGAGAAAGATGTCAGATATTCACATGGGAAGAGAATGTGAGAAAGAAAAAATCGTTCAATCAAACCTAGAATGTGTAAAAAATTTATTTTTATGTAAAATCATGGTTATTTGCCTAATATCAACACCAAATATAGGTATTTGGCTAATTCACTCGTTAAATTACACAAGAAACAAAAAAAAAGGTTCAATTGATCTTCTTATCTATCTCAAAGTTAGAGCATCCCCATCAAAGGTTTAGATGGAGGTTCACACATTTTTCAACATAAAAAAATTAAAATAAGTAAATCTCATGATCTCATTTCTCCTAAAGCTCTCTCTAGTGATTCCCTCTCTCTTGAAGTTCATCACTGTAGTGTGGGCCCCACGATACATGGTGACCCGCGATTGGTCTATTTTTTTTTCTTAAGAAAAAGCAAAAACGAAAAACAAAAATATTTAATAATAAAAAAAAAAAAGATGAACCCTAAGACGAGGTTCATTGATGGAGATACTCTTATGCACTTCTTATCGGCGAACAAGAAAAAGAAATGAATCTTATCCCTATCTATAAGAGAAAAATGATTGGAATTCTCCACGAAGATGATCAAATATGATTTTTTTCATTAAACTTGCCGTGATCCAAAAAAATGAAAAGACTTTCGAAAGACACTTAAACCATCCAAAGATGATTCATAGGCGAACCCGTGAACTCCACCCCAATTATCTTGAGACAAGATTAGCGTGGAATTATTCAGACTCTAGTCCCAATCGAGAGACAAAACCTTTTTTGTTTTGGATTTTGTTGTATTTATCATATATCCAATCGTAGGGAAAAGAGCATATTCATACCCAAACAATTTTAATTGTGCCAAATATAACCCGAACAAATTGTTAGTGCCAAATACGACCTGAACTATGTTATAATTCAAAAAAAAACTACCTGAACTTTTTAAAACGTGCCTAAACATACATTGACCGTAACAGAAGTTAGTCAACCGTTAAAATGAGAAACGACGTCATTTTGATTTCATTATTTTTTCAAAATAATATGCACATTCTGGAACTCGAACCCATGCCTTGTTGCTCTTTAAAACGAACACATCAACCACTAGAATAAAGATATTTCTTGATATAATACAACAAATTTGTAATTATATATGCTACTATACTTTTTCATCTTCTCTAATTAAAACTTTGGTTATTATTCTTTTTGATTCTTATAAATATATTAACATGTTTTTTAATTATTGAAGTTTATATTATATTAAAATAAAAAAGAATAAAATATTTATATTTATACAAATTTAAATATATTTCATATTTTGTACATATTTACAAAATTTCCATATATAAATTATTTTAAAAATTTCAAACTTTGGTAATTTTTTTATTTTGGCAAAGTATATTTCCTCAGGTAAAAATTAATATAAATTGAATATACTTTGCCAAAATAAAAGAAATTACCATTCAAGTTTTAAATTTTTAAAATAATTTATATAAGGACATTTTGTAAATAGGTACAAAATGTGAAATACATTTAATTTTGTATAAATATAAATATGTATAATATAAAATTATTAAAGATGATATAATTAAAAAACATGTTAATATATTTATAAAAATCAAAAATAATAATAACCAAACTTTTAATTAGAGAAGATGAAAAAGTATAGTAGCATATATAATTACAAATGTGTAGTATTATATCAAGACATTTTTTTAGTCTAGTGGTTGATTTGTCCGTTTTAAAGAGCGACAAGGCACGGGTTCGAGTCCTGGAATGTGCATATTTTTTGAAAAAATAATGAAATCAAAACGACGTCGTTTTATCATTTTAACGGTTGACTAACTTCTGTTATGGTCAATGTAGGTTTATGCACGTTTTAAAAAATTCAAATAGTTTTTTTGAATTATAACGTAGTTCAGGTCGTATTTGGCACTAACAATTTGTTCGAGTTGTATTTGGCACGATTGAAATTTTTTGGGTAGGAATAGGTCCTTTTTCCATCCGTCGTACTACTGTTTTGTAGTTTTACTTTTTTAATAATCAAAGTTTTGAGACCAATTAATTTTGAGTTTATATATAACAATATAAAAGTCTAAAGATGAAATCCGTCTTCAAAAAAGCTTGTGAGAAAGTGTCACTGAATTTAGAAGCCATTTTTGTTTTCTTTAAATTAAAAACATTCAAGGCTAAGAACATTTGTTGAAAAGAAAACACAATACAACATAGTGTAGAATTTCTGTTTGATACAAAACATATAAAAATAAACTTACTACTGCAATTTAGACGTTGTTAACTCGTTTCATCTATACTATTAAAACAATGTTTATTTTTAAAAATATCTAAATTTACTAACTGAGAAAAATATATATATATATATATATATATATATATATATATGTGTGTACGTGTGTGTTGACAAAGCCGAATGTTTAGTTTCCTTGTGCTAGACAGGTCTATAATATAGTAAGTAGTCAAATAACAGGTTTGAATTTTGTTTACATGTAAAACTTTCCCTCGAGATATGTAAAGTAGAAATGGGAAAGACAACTTTTTTTTGTTGGTGAAAAAGATAGTTTTTATAAAAAAAATGGCATTTACGTTAGGACTGAGCGCAAACCCAATACTTATAGATTTTGGAAAGTTTGATACTTGGTTAACTTGTTCAAGTAATCGTATTTAAGACTCGAACTTGGTTTGTCAAAAACAAATACTTGCTATTTCAAGTACGCGAGAAAAAAATCAGTACTTGCAAATTATTGCAAATTACTTGATCCGATTTTCTACTTGTAAAATCAATTACATATTTGTAAAATACTTGTTACTTACAAACTGCAAATAAGTAAAATAAAACATAATCTCATACAATGAATTTGGCTATCTTTTTATTAAAAAAATTTACTTGAATCTGATATGTTTATTTGATTTCAGTTACAATATAAATAAAATATAAATATGTTAAATATATAATAATTAAATCTTTAAAAACAAGTAACAAATATTAGGTAAAAAGGGGAATGAGATAAATATTGAAAGATATAAATATATTTGATGACTTACATTTACAAATAATAAGATTTATTGGCTTATTATCCGACTTAACAATGTCGAGAACTTGATTTTTTAAAGTGAAACAAGACAAACAATCCAAGTGAAAAGAAACATGATTTATGTAATTTTAAAATGTAAATAGATTAAGATTTTGAAATTATAAAAATTTATGCCAAGTAGTAAATATAAACGAACCAAGTAATTAATTATTTTAAAGACTTGATATTTGATTTGTACTTACAAATTTTTGGTTTGAAATATTTGTTACTTGGTTTGATCATCGCAAATATTTGTTTTACGGAGTAAATACGGGATGAGTAGCGGGTACAAGCCGAGTATCAAGTATTTATGTCCAGCCGTAATTTACGTTGTGTTATGCGCTAATGCATCAGCCATTAACTGAAATATCATCTATTAAAAGCTTAGCTTTTATTCCTGAATCACTCTTACAAACTGGTGAATCAACTTCTTCTCTAAATAAAGAAAAAGAACAAAAGGAAGAAGAAATAATTTAAACAGAAACATTGAAGAGAGACAACTCTATACAAACGGACAAAGATACCAAAGTCAGAAATTTCGACGAATTACAAATTTCAAGTTACTTCGAGGAGGGGAAAAAGGGTTTGGTTCTTCTTTTATATTGCTCACAATTCAATATATAAAAACGATCCATACCAACTTTTAATTGTTTAACTTCTGATCAGTCGTGCTCGTCGAACCCTACAAAGCATTATGAAAACCCAGCCACCAAAAAAAAACATTATATAAAGAAGCATCCTAATGTAAACAAATGCAAATCATTTTGTTAGTTATTTGCAAAGGTTTTAAAATCGGTTTTTTTCCCTTTTTATGAAGAGGACTAATATTACCCCAACAGACGTGATAAAGCTACAAACGGCACATTTCACAGATCTTGCTCCATATTGATACATTAGTAGCATCTTGCAGCTTCCGCAGTTCACATGCGCCACCTGATTCGCTAATATTCAACATGTAAGAGACACGAGAGTTACTCATATTGTATAAACAAACTGATCTAACATAACTTGAAACTAAAAAGATCAAAGAGCTGTCTTATTGAGTTTAGTTATTCTACCGAAAACCAAAACTAAACCAGACCATAAAATAACTAAAAACAAAACAAAACACTTCAGAATTGTTTGTATTATCTTAAATAAAAAAAAAACCGAAACTAAACAAGACCCGTAAAACGACAAGAGCTTGTAAATTAATGGTTTACTTAACTATGTTACCACTCGGGTTTAAATCTGTATAATGCATGTTAGACCCACAAAAACAGGCTGATACTTAAATTTATTTTATTATTTAATCTGAAAACGTATAATAAATTTTTACTACTATAAATCGCAGTCAAGAATTAATTTAATATTGGTTTTGGTTTCTTATATTTCTTAACCAAAACTCCAAACTAATTTGAGATCGGATTAACATAAGCATCAATATGCATGCGTGAAATGTTTATGTATCAAATGCAAACCTTCGAGGGCAAGATTAACGGTGTGACAACAAGAACATTGAACACTTGTAGCTCCTCGAATGTACATTAAAAGTGTATGGCATCCTCCACACACTAACTGAGCCATCTCCGTTCCTGCGTTGGCCAATTATTATGAAGCCAAAATCTCTTTAAATCGTTTTTTCATCAAACATTTTGACTGATAGTTACCTGGCGGAGGAACGGCCGTGACCGCGTTACAGACGGCACAACAGACAGAGGTTGCTCCGACGGGATACATCAGAAGGTTTCTGCAACCTGAACACACTAACTGGCTCTGTCCACCTGTACTACCTATAAATCTCAAAACCATTATTATTATCTATTTATTTTTGCAAAAAATAAAAAAAAATTTGTGAATCAACATGACCTCATGTGTACTAAATATTTGATTATCGATTAACAAATGGGTTTCTGGGAATAATCTGAATCCATACAAGATATCGATTATTTGCAATAAATGCAACGAAGAACACCTAAGGTTATGATGAATCTATAATATATTTGATCAGTTAAAAGAAAATAAATTAAAAAAAAATCCTAGAATGGATTTTTAGTTATTTCTAGAAAACTTAAACATGGACTTATGTCATGATTCGAACTTTGGATTGTTTAGCTTTTGAAAACAGAGGAGTTATCTGGGTTTAAAGTTTTGTTATTTGAAAAGAGTCTATACCATTTGCAGGAGGCGGAGGAGTGTACGCCGGAGCCAGTGGCGGCGCCGGAGTTGTTGGATATGGTGCAAGAGGGACTGGCATTATTCACTCAAGGGATTATTGCAAAAACAAATAATCGATAAATCTCTGTCTTCTCTATATATCCCTCTCTCTATATATAAATTTATAATTGTTTCTCTTGTTGATGGTCTTAATGTCTTAAAAGAAGAAGACACATCTTGTGTTCTTCAATTTTTCTTCTCCCATTTCCTCATTTTCATCATCTATACAAACAAGCACAAAGGGAAACAATGATACAAAAAGAGAAAAAAAATCTTAATTTTACAAAGATGGATATGAATCTTCAAAAATATATATAAATAGAAAAAGGAAAGAAATCAATTCTTTTTTGTTTGGATATATATCAAAATTCAATGCTTGAAACTTAAGAAACATGTGAATACTTACTTTGGGGTCACACCATCACCATGACGCTCTTTGACTAGTACCTCGCTAATTGTGGAATCTCGTTTTGATATATTTTTGCAGTTGCATCACGTTTGTATGTATGTATTTGGGAATGGGAAAAAGGGATGTGAATTGTGAAAAGTTGGAAGAAATGTATTATTATGTGAGGAGTGGGGCAAACACACATCATCTCTTGCAACTTGATGTTTATCATTTAAATAGAGAGAAAACTAAACGAAGAAACAAAGAAGAAAAATAAATTTTTAATAAAATGAAAAAGAAGCAAATCTTTTAGAAAATGAAAACTTCTTATAAAATGCCATTTTCTTACCAGTTATATTTTTTCCCTATCAACAACCAATGATAAATGATGATATATGTCCACTATATAGTACATTTTTAAATTCAAGGAATATTCGTATAATGTTGAGAGATTTTCTCTTAATGTACAGTTGAAGTTCACAATATTACATATATCAAATTAATCCTACATATAAGTGATATATTATATTGCAAGTTAAACGTTTATCATAGTTTTATGCGTAATGCTGATAAAATTTGGAAGATAATACATCAAAATACTAACCCAAACTGTTAGTTTTCTTTTGCTATCAAATTCAGTATTTTTATATTTATCATTTTCGCACCATACTAGGAAATGCTTAGTTTAACCAAAAACGAATATGCCACACTTTAACCAAATTACTATGGTCCAGACTAAGAAGATAAAATAAAGACTTACCATGGGCCATGCACACAGAAATTTCAGTTGCCCAATCAGTTGAGGAAGCTGGAAACTTGGTTTCTGTGTCTTTTTTGTTTTACCAAACCTACAATGTTTTGTTTGGCAGCTCATTGAACTCACCTAAACCCTCATTCATGAAAGTGAATATTTATATGTATGTGGACATAAGAAAGACATCAAATGTAGTGGGCAAAAGTAACTATAATTTTGATTTATTTGGTTTCATATCACATAAACAACAACTTAAGCTTCGGTTTGACATAATTTAATTATTTGATGGACCCAATTTACTTATGTTTATGCTTCTTCTTTTTCTTTTTTTCTTTAAACACCTTGTCATATTGTTATGTCAACTACACTTCACATGTGAGTTCGCGAGTCACGATCTTCATCGTAAAATCTTCTTTTGTTTTGTTGTGGACAATATATAATACTAGTTTTTTTTTACATCAAACAATTATTTTATTACTAAAACTTGAGATGATTTTAATAACTAAACCGGAATAGAATAATCAATAAATCAGATTTCTCTATAAAAAAATCTCATATTTTTAGTTAAAGAGTCAGAATATCCATGTTGTGCTCTTGGGATATGATGTATCTCAAAATATGGAAAACATATGAGCAACAACTTGATAGTTTTTATTTCTATCGCAAAACTAGGCCAAACTCCTGGATCTTTTACCATTACGATCAGGTCCCTGCAAAGCACTAACATGACAAATGTTAAATCATGTTCTCTATTACCCATCATAGTGCTTCTACTTTTGAATACATCGCGATCTTTTTCTTTACTGAATTTTGGATTCCCATAAGTTGAATCTTCCCAAGATTATCTATCAACACTCAACCACATCCACAAAATTGAATTGTGGAAGTCCATGAACCTTCCACCATATAAATATTATTCAGGCTTATGACCTGAAGTGCATTGCTATTATGCTCATGTGGACTAGGAGTAATCATTTCGTTTGTGTTAAACCAGGCATGGCATCCGTTTTTCGTATACCTGATTAATTTCAGAGGATCCATGTTAATTCCCCTGAATAATTTATCATTATGAGCTTTCTATATATACCAAATTATCCAAGGATAAGGGTCCATATCTAAATTTGGCTCCACAAGACTGTTTTTCCTCCAGAAAAAGTAGCCCATATCGGCAAAGATATTTCCTTTTGGAAAAATATCGGGACAAGATGGTATTGCTGATAGTGACCAGACTTGCAATGTAGGAAGACATTTAAAGATGACATGTGCAACTGTTTACTCTGGTTCCCCACATCTAGAACAATAAAATCCCATATTCCTATGGTTCAGATTTTGCGTAACGACCACGTGACCAGTTAACAGTTACCACAAAAGATGGGGTATCTTCTGAAGTGATTTTACTTTCCAAACGAAGGCTTCGAGTTTGGTTATACTTGGCTCACTCACCACCAACTCCTCTTCGTTATTCAATAAGTTTCTAGCGACCTAGTAGCCAGATTTAACATTATATTGACCACTTTTGATGTAATTCCAACAAAATATAATACTAGTTTAAAATCAACGTAGAATGATAATTATATGTAAATTATTTTTATGTATTATTATATTTTTTACATTTTATTATATATTATAAATATCAAAATAATAAATATTTATTTAATGATTAAGAAAACATAAATTATTACGCTTATAATTAAACTGGAGCAAACACATAAATCAAAGCATTCTCTTTTTTAAAAAAAAATTTATTTACAATCATTTAATGGTAAATAAATCCAAACAATCACTAATCATTTTTATCTATTTTGCGTGATATATAATTAAATCTAAATAATATTAATATATATGGTATATTTTTAATATGTTTATCTATTAAATCAGATTTTCTACTCATATATTTTTATGATCATGTGTATGTCTTATAGCATATTCTAAAACTATTGGTGATAAATTTTTAAATGTGGGACTTGTAATAGTTTTAATAATTTCTAATCATTTTTACAATATCAATTCAAATTTAAAAATTAAAATATTAAGTTCTCAATACTTGTTCAATTCAAATTTTGAAACTAAAAACTTCATGTATTAATATGGTATATAGTATAACTAATATATATTTATCCGAATATCTATTCGATGAAACTTTTACTCATATGGTTTTAATTATTTTTATCTTTTAAAAAAAATTAAATCATTGATCGAAAAAATTTCCATGAGCGACTTTTAACTATTTTAGTAATTTATAGTCATTTTAAGAAAATTATATAGTATAGTGGTCCACAAACTTTTCTTTCTCAAAAAAAACATATACATCTAAAATCTCATTATATGATTATTCTGATTGATTAATTTATTTTATTAATATAACATTTAAAAATGATATAGGATACAATTATCAAATCCATATTATCAAAAATCGTAATGTCATATAGATATTTAGGGAACGGAGAAAAAAAATAATTGCAGATTATCAATTAAGGTTAGTTTAATGAATTGTATAATATATGTTTAGATGGACCTACACATTTCTTTAGTGAATTTAAGAAATATTCTAACTAAAATATTGTAATGTTTCTAAAATAATATAAAAGGGATAATAATAATAATAATAATAATAATAATAATAATAATAATAATAATAATAATGATAATAATAATAATAATAATAATAATAACAATTTATATCTTAATTATTATTTTTTACAATCAGAACTGAGGTGGTCTGGGTAACCAAACATGAATAGAACAACCAATAAAAAAAATTCTCTATGAAAATGTCTTGTAATCTTAGTTAAAAAATCTAAAATTCAATTTTGTGCCCTTGGAAATGAAATATCTTGGAATCTGTAAAATATATCTGCAGCGTTTTTATAACCTTCAATTATGTTGAAAAATTTGGTCAAGGTTGAGGTTCATTTATCATTGTGATCAGATCCTTGTATGTTCTAAAGAGATGTCATAACGAATGTTGTAGCATGTTTCCCATTGCCCATTACAATACTTTTACTTTTGAATGTAAATAGTTTCTCGTCTTTATAAGTTTCACGTTTTCATGAACTAAATCTTTCTAAACTATCATTCCAAACCCAAACCCAACCAGAACTAATGAACGTGCTGTGGAAGTTTCATCCACCATGCATATATTATCCAAGTTTATGATCTTGAGAGCCTCATTACTATGCTCTTATGGAGCGTGAATGACCATTTTATTTACATTAAATCAAGTTTAGCTATCACTTATATCGACTAACTCCAAAGAATTTCTCTCAATCTTCCTAAAAAAATTTATCATTCTTAACCTTCTGATATACTTTAATTAGCTTAAAGTATGTATCTCTGATAATAAATAAAGTAAATTCTTAGTTTACATAAAAGAAGATTTCAGTAGGTGCAATTGCAACAGATAGAAGTATATAATTATATATAATCCAAATATAAAAATCCATATTATGTAACCCACACAAATAGGGTGTGGGAACCGAAATCCACCTACTGTCAAATAATCGTAAATAAGGAAACTTCGGGAAAACCCTAAGTTTCCAGAGGAACCGGCTATCTGCAGAACCGCACAACGAAGATTAAGATAACAAGAAACTTAGAATTATTAAAAGAATAAACGAAAATCGAGAGCAAAGAGGTTCTTATTCCGAATCTGCGTAGAACTGGTACAAAGAGAGTAGCCGACAACTTAAGAACGAAAAACCCTAATTGAGACGCAGCTCGCTAACAGAAAAACGGAAATATTCCTAAATGCTAGTTTTGGTGGTGAGAGCTCTCAATTTCGTGTGTCTTGCTTCTGCCCTAGACCTCCTATTTATATACTCCCCGCCTTGGCTATCCGATCTTTCCATTTCGCCCAGATTTGACTAAATCAGGAATTTTCCATTCTTCTCGATCCTTCCTTTTCTTCCGCGGAAATCTTCTATTTTTCTTCAAACCTTCCTTTTGTCTTCAAACTTGACTTTTATTTTCCTCATACGAGTAAACCGTCCAAACGTTATCGAATCTTCGGGTTAGATTTCGTTAAGATCGCGAGATGGGTTTTTATCGCGTTTTAGGTCCTTCCGGGCCGTTTTGCGATAAATCCGTTTTCCGACTTTTTACGGGATCGTTTCCTGATCTGACATCGTTTTTAATAAATTCCTCGAGCTAATCGTAAGGTTTTACGATTTACTCGACTTTTTATTAAAAACACGTTTTTTACGTTTTACTCGACGTTTTTTTATTAAAAACGCGTTTTTTATGATTTCGACGAGAAATCTCGAATAAATCGTATGTTTTAGGCAATGTTCGGCGTTTCGTTTAACCGTCACCGTTTTATACAATTTCTTTGAGTTCTTTATCGAGAAAGCAAAGTTTTTACGGTTTTTATCGTAAAACTCGAACGATAGGTCGGATCGAGATGGAACGGGAGATGTTTCGGCCGTGGTTCAGAATGCG